GAAAGTTTGTTATATATTCTGATTGTAACTTCTCGAACAGCGTCATTGTGTGTTTTGGAATACTTACACTCTCACCTGCCATTATATTATAATGTGTGTTGATGTTTTTGTTCTGTATAAATTTTGTTTTGTTTATATGTGTGAGAAGGGCGCACTTATAAAAATGAATGCTTGGTAGAGTCATGATGTTTTTACTTCTGAAGATCTCTCTGCAGGATTCTCTTCTATGAATGTTGGATATCAATCTGATTATTCTCTTCTGTTGAACAAACGCTCAATAAATTGAAGTTGATTGCCCCCAAATTATGATGTTACTTGATAAATGTGAGTGTACGAGAGCATAATATACATCTAATAAAGCTGACTCTGATAAGCAAAACTTAAGAATCGCATAATATGATTGGTTCAACTTTTTACACACTGTCCATGTGTTGTTACCAACTGAGATTTGCATCCATTTCTATTCCCAAGAATGTCGTAGTTTTAGGTGTCTCATGATTTGCTAGAATAGGGGCGTTTGTATGAAAATGTACAACATCTGACTTTTCGAGGTTTAAAATCAAACTATTTGCTTGGCACCACCCTTTCATTTCACCTTTTACTTCATTTATTTTTGCAATAATTGGGTGTAGTTCCACTGACAAGAACTGACGCATCATCCGCATAATTTGATACAAATCCAAAGAGATGGAAATCACTTATATATAGAATGAATACTAGGGGTGCTAAAACTCACCCACAACCAGAACTTAGTTTAGAACGCGATACCTAAAAAAAATAAGTTTAACAAACAAAAACTTTTAGTATTGTGAGAAGGAAGCTTCCATAAACTTTTTTTGCACATACCTTCCACTTTGATCAAAGTGACGTTGATGATAAAATACAGTTAAATCTTCAGATACTTTCATTTTATCAATTTTGAATAATGTAAACTGTAATTTTGAAGTGTCTTTAAAGTTGATAAAATCTATCGTCAGCTTAATATGTCCACTTTTTGAAGAAAATGAGATATTGGAATTTTTAGATGATACTGTGTGACGCGCATGTCCCAAGAATGCCTCATAACTGCGACATATTCGGCGTCAAGAATTCCACATAACACTCGCCCTTGCTCTGACCGACAGTAACATCACACAAGTCCATATAAGCTTCTTAAAAGTTCAGTGTTTTGGTATGCTTTAATGCAGTCGATGCAACTCTGTTGTTGGCGGTAGTATTTGATACTTGTGCATGTTTAGCATGGAGTAAAACTCTGATTCAGTAGGATAAGGTAACAGTACCATGTTGAATCAGGATCATATTAAATTAATAATAATAATAAAGCATTTATTGCCCAACAGTACAGGTACCATTTAGAGAGCAATACATAGTACAATGGTTTAATCTACACAGTCTATCTGTCATAGAGTGAAACAAAAAAAGCACAAATTAGATGTTGGATAGCGACTAACTGTCTTGTAAACGGAAACTACGGAGTTATGTGATTTTATCGTTCGGACTTATTTGATTTGATCATCATCAATATAAACATTTCAGACATGGGATAGGTTTTTCTCTCTAAAATCAGTGGTATGGGACATGTGTGCTTTGCATATTAAGCCGACGCTATGTTTACGCGGAAATCGGTTAGATCTGGTTTTTTCGCCCGGCACAGGTATTACGTATCTTGAAAAGTGACGTTTTGTCGTTCTTTTTTCTGACATTTTATAGATTTTTTGTGACATAACGAAGATTTTTTTACAAGATGTCAACTTAGAACTAGCTGGTGTACATTTAGTGTGAACTTGTTTTATAGTTGTACATGTTGCCTAAACGTCATGATGCTTCAGCTATCAATGTTTAGCTCTGATGTGATGTAACATCTGCATAGATGACATTATTGGTGGTCTAAGCTGCAAGATGTATACTATAGCTGGAAGAAAACGGCAGTGCATAGGTGCATAGTGAGGATTTGTGTGCTAATCATATGTGTTGATGATAGTTCCATTGGTTTGTTGTCTTAAATACACTTACTTGAGATGTATTCAAAGCTAGAAATCCGCTTTTTCTTATTCATTCTGGAAATTACATATGGAAATTTGCTGAATTTCAAAAATGAGAGAGATAAGAAAAGAAAAATGGTTGGTTAAGTAATTAACTTTAGGTGGAATCTTCTATTTTATACTTACATATTGCCTCATATTGCAATTACATTTACTGTACACTGTCGAATTACAAGTCATTTACATGCAGCAGCGGTGGCCGCAGTAGTAGACTCTTCGGTCTCCTGATCAGTCGCCGTGCGCTGTGCGGGTTCGAATCCCGTCCCAGGATGGGATGGATGTTGTGGTTGTCCGTAGGTGGTAGACGGTCTCTGACTGTCGAACGCGGCGGTACCACCCAGTGGATCTGGTAGGCGGAGCCAGAATGTGTGCATGTCGCATGCTCACGTGTTCTCTCGCCAGAGTCCGTGAGGCGTTCCCCCTTTCCCCTGTATCCCTCTATAGCCTCACGGTACCCAATGGGTGTTTAGGCCTTAGGCCTTCGTGGTAGTTGGAGTATAAAAAAAAATGCTAACAGTAATTGCACACAGCGCGAGCCGTAATTCTCCTCAAAGTTTTTGAAAACACAAAAAATAACACGAAAAATCATAATTCATAACTTTGATCATAACGTATCTTCAGAAAGGACAAATATAGATATACTTCATTGGCAGCATGTTCAGTAATAATCTTCTCACATAGCAAATATCACTGATTTTATACCCATAATCATCCAGATGCGGTCTTGCTACTCAGCCAACCTTCTTTCTTTCAGATCTTCTCCGAGATAAACACTACTTGGCTTTCAGTTACCAGCAATGCATGTTTGAACGTATGGGATCGTTGAGTCATTCCTCCATAGATGGACGCTTTTGATGACGCTCACAGCGATCATAGCGAGCAAACGTAGAATGAACTATTTACACACCAAAAACTACCTAGTCTGCAAGATATTTTGTCGATTTTTTTTTAAGTTTTGCAGGTTTTTTACCGATCTCCTCTTGGAACGTTCAATCTATAGAAACCTTCGATACACCCGTCTTACTGCTTACCAACTTAAGTGAACCGATTTCCATGAGAATAATAATTTCATCCACTTTAAAGACAGTTTCCTGAGGTGCAAAAATCTGAGAATGATTTCCTTAACTCTCGTAATTTCACAATTACAGAACACACAAGTCTCGCTCTGGTAACTTTCCGGAGATTGTTTATCCAAGGCGAATTTTATTAAGGGGAGGATATGTTTGAGTTGTCAATTAGAAGACGCGTCACAGAACACCAGCACAGAACGAAGGCAACTCTGGATGCACGCGCCGCCTGCCTTGATGTCTTAATGGAATTAGGGGTACACGATGCTCAACTGTTTACAACCGGAATGGAATGAGCACCAGATACGTTTCTGTTAGTGTAAAAGCTTGAAGGGGAAATTTGCAACATTCTGGTGTTTATATTTCATTTACTTACTATACATCCAAGGATGATTTCTGATGCATACACGATTATCTAGTCTAAAATCTCCCGCTTCTCAGGAAGTGAAGCAGTTTCTTAGGAGATTATAAAAACTCCATAAAAGTTAGATAAGGATGTTCCAAGTGCATGAGCATTTATTAAAATTACTTCCCATCTACTACAAAAATGAATAATGCGGTATTCACTTATTGAATCGCAATTTAATATCAAAATACAGTATCTTTATTTAATAGATTCAAGTTAAACAATACAATATATATAATGTTATTATCTGAAACTAACACTGTTTTCTACATGAATTCTCAATTGTCATTTGAATTTGACAAAATTTGTAGATTTGATTTCAGCTGGTAAATTATTAAAAATAAACTATTTTGCCCAAAAGCAGACCCCACAGCAGGAACATAAAAAACAAACCTATTCCTTTTATTATACCTATGAATATCACAGACAAATTTTAAACCTTCCAATATTTGTTCGGGATACATTCCATTCTTTATTTTTTAGAATTGTAAAATATATGACTTTTATTCTTCTGTATCTATTAAATCTTAATATACATCTACGAGCCTGATTTTGTTTTCTCTGTAGTATGTCTATATCACCTTTCTGAAACATATATAATACGGAGGAACAGTAGTTAACGCGAGACATGACTATTGTTTTATATATAAGAAGTGACGTTCATGAACTAAGGTCCTTTGTTACCATACACATTAAATTAACTTTTTTAGAAACTTTTCTTATAATATAATCTGCATGGCTATTAAATGTTAAATTTGAGGCATATAGTGACTTTAAGTCTTCATTAATCATTTTAACCAAACTGTCTATGTTGTCACATTCCATGAACAAAATTGTATCGTCTGCAAACTACTGAATTTTGCAATTTTTTATAGCCATTACATTATCATTTATATACAGCACGAATAGACCAGGACCCAACACTGTTCCCTGAGGCACACCATGTCTATTTTCTCTTACAGAAAATAAGGAGTCTTGTACTTTGTTCGCTGGGTTCTTTGTTCCAAGTATCCTGAGAACCTTCTTAAAACGGTGCCTTCAGAGCCATATTTTTCTAGTTTTTTTATCAACAAATTTCTATACACAGCTTAGAAAGGATAACATAAACCGTAAAAATATACAGGGTATTTGTTCTATCAGGATTTTTTTAAAGTTCATGTTACACTCAAAAGCACCCTGTATCATGGAGCAAAATGTTTAAATAAAATTCGAATGACGTTTTACTGTAACTGCAAATCTGACTGAGTTTTCGAACAAAATATCCCGTACAATAGATCCAGAAATATCAATCCAAATGTCTTCTTTTGAAGACGCCTGCCAGAATATACTAGAATATATAGGGTATTCCATTTAAAAATGTATTTTCGTATATAATTGCCTACAGTCTGTGTTATCAACGTTTTCAGATATCTTTCAACTAAACTCGCCGTGTATTATGTAGCGGGTAAAAGGAATTTTCTCTTCTATAATATTTACCATTGATGCGTTAGATGTGCCACACTAGAAATTCTTACTTCATACTATAAAATCATCAAATTACACAGTTTGTTGGAGATTGTCAATTATTTAGTTCGGCACTCTGTCCAAGGGGAAATGTAATATTACAAGGAACGGCATTGCATGGACGACAGCTGCATCATCATGCATTAGTCTAATCGCATACTCATTGGCTTCTAAAAAATCGGTGAGTAATATGATCACTCTCAGTGCTAAAATATTTTTTAATTGCCACATAAAAAATATTCATAGCATAATTTACTAATTACGATTCCGTGAATGCAATAGTAATAGTGTACAGAGAACATTATTGACTAGTTCAACTGTATTGTCTAGGAACAACGTAAGTTCCAAGTAAGGGTTACCCTTAAATCAAAAGTATGATAGATAATAAACCCCGTATTGGTAGTTCATGAAATCCCAATTTTTTCCTAATTTTCCTGTCTACACTTTATGCAGAATGTTTTTCAATGATCAAAATAACGTATTTTTCAGAATGATCTTTTCGCCGTAGTGATAAACACGGAACACAGCGACATATAATGCAGATAAAAAGACGTGGGTACTGACAAGAAAATGAGGAAGTGCGGTTTTATATCGCACAACTCATTACAGTTTTATTTAAATTGTTTTCTAACAAACATTAAGATGAAGACTGTATTTTTGATATTAGTATTTTACTATACTTTGATCACCTACGTTGAGTGTAGGTATCTGGACAATAGTGAACACGCAAGCAAATTTCACAGTGGTGGAATCGTTACTTATTGGCCCACCCCTAGTCCTGCCGGTAAGGTCGTTGAAGATGAAGAGAAACAACCTGGATTTATGGTAAGATGAATATACATATTCATTATATAATTATAATTGCCAGACGATATGATATTACACCATTGCCCTCTCTTGCTGCCCCCTGAATCTATACAGTATGTTAGTGGTTTGTGTTGCATAGATCAGTAGCAATATCTCTATCGCTACACATTATACAATGAAGTTCCCTACCACGTCTGTCTGTCTGTCTGACCGCGGTTAGCTCTCAAAAACGACGGGACACATTTTCATAGTATTTTCCGCAACTGACTGAGTAATTCAGGTATATAACATAACTGATTGAAGTCTTGCGTACATTCACTGAAATCTAACGACAATTGTATCTCAATTTGCCTATGAAAGTCATTATTTGGCGTATACTGTGTAAGCTATTGGTGATACATTACATTACATGAGTTGTACATTTTCATAGTCTCTATTCGTTATTGTCTGTCCGTAGGACCTTTGCTCTTGGTTAAAGTCTTGTAGGTCAGTAGGTCTGTCAGGCCTGCTTGCCCAGATATCAAACAAAGTCGTGGAGAAATAAGAGAAGAAGAAAGAAAGGAAGGAAGGAGGGACAGCAAAGAAAAAAGAAGTGCGTTAATTTGAGGGATGCATTGGCATTGATAATTAGTATTCGGCAATTTTAAATTGATCCTAAAATTAATTTAGAGATTGGTTGTTGAAGAAAAATTATAATTTTGGTTGGACCTAGTCGCACGATTTAATTTCGTTCACAGTGCGAGTCACGGACTTGTGTGCTTGCGAACTTGCTTGACTGTGTAGTCTACTGACTCGCGCAACAAAGTGTTACTATGCGATTCCGCTTGACTGTGACGTTGCTGCGCTTGTTGTTTGATGTAATCCCTTAGGTAAGGGATGTCAAGGTCTCTGTGAAGGATCTCGTTGGAGACATACCATGGGGCGTTAGTGATTGTACGCAAGGTTCTGTTCTGCAAAACATGCAAGCTACGCAAATGCGTTTTGGCGAGAAAACGCCAAGCCGCACTTGCGTAAGTGATCGCTGGTCTAATAATCACCTTGTATAGCCGAACTTTGTTGATCAAACTTAATTTTGATGTTCAACATAGCATAGGGTAGAGTTGCCGATACGAGATTTGGAATTTAGCTTTTAACGCTTCAGTGTGCTTCTGCCATGTCATCCCTTTGTCAAGAGTCACACCGAGATATTTCGCAGAACTTTCCCATGGTACCCAAGCTCCATTCACTGAAACCTCATACGGGGCGCCGTTACGTTTTCTAGTACAATAGATTGCCTGCGTTTTCGAATTATTAATTTTGATCAGCCACCGATTCGCCCATTCCAATGCCTCGTCCACCTCAATTTGCAGCCTGTCGTGAACTAGATACCCAGAACACGACTGGGCCACCAGGGCAGTGTCATCAGCATAGAGATAGATTTCACAGTTGCTGGTGCAAGGGATGTCATGAATAAGAGTGAATAAAGGACTGGTCCAAGAACCGAACCCTGAGGGACACCGGCTTTGATGGGCCGTGTTGTCGACAGAACGTTATTAATTTTGATCCGAAATTTCACACCCTCGAGGAAGGATTTCAAAATTTTTAGGAGCCAGAAGGGGATCAATTTGTAGAGAAAGCCCTTGTGCCACACCTTGTCAGATGCCTTTGAGACATCCAGAACCAAGATGCCAGTACTTTCGTTACGGGTGAACCCGCTGGTTACACGTTCAACAAGCCTAATGGCCTGTAGCTCCGTACTATGCTCAGACCGAAAGCCAAATTGCACATCAGAAATTACATATGGTCTGACGAGAAATTTTCAAGGTGACGTACAATCATCTTTTCAGCGAGCTTAGAAGGAGCTGTCATCCAGAAAAAAATCCCGCGTTCAGAGTAACTGACTTTTATCCAAATTAGTCGCGTTTAAGTGAAAACTCGATTATATAAAGCATATGGGCACAAGCCCGCGGTAGATTGTGATTCGATACCTACCAGTAGGGACTTTTTTGATACGTGTTTTTGGTAGTAACCTAAACGTAATATGTTCCTGGTTACGCATAATCCGGCAGAAGTACACAAACAATATATAAGTTTCATGTGAAGTTATATGATAACTGTTCTATATTTTTTCAATATTTGCAAAATCCGATATGCTGATTCAACACTCTTGACGGCTGGTGAATAGTGGGAATATTTGCACCTCATATACGAACATTCTTTCCTATCGTTCAAACCTGCGACTCCTTCCGGTCAGAAAAGCTCGTTTTTCCAACTCGAGGGGAATAAACGACATTCTTTTCGTGAGTATTATTGACTTGTAAAATCATCACGCTCAAATCGTACTGAAATTACAACTTTTTCCACTGTCAAATAATCCAGAAGAAAAACTAGAACCGCAGGGGTATTACGTAACTTGTAAAGTGATTTTGTAGGTTTTTTAAGACATCATTTAGATTTTCCTTCAAGATGTCAACTTTTAACTATACCCTATTCGTAGTCCATTTACGCCCAACGGCACAACGAAGATGCAGCGCGGCAAAGAGGCAGCCGCCCAAGCTACACTAAACTTAACTATATCTGGTCGATTTGGAATGAACACCTGTTAGATACTCTTGTATTGTTATTAGTTTCTTGAATGCTATATGAAAGAATTATTTCCAGGAAAAGGGCACATCTGTCACATTGGCAGTGAAGATGGCTTTGTGCCCATTGCCCTATGGGCATTTGAGTCAAAGGAAACGACCGACTACCATGAAGAAATGGACGGAAGTTCATTTGAACGATGGTTTGAAGAAACGCTCCCAAAGCTTGACGACAATGCCGTCTTTGTACTTGATAGTACTGCATATCACACTAGAAATCTAGAAAAAAATCCCACAATGTCCACAAGAAAGGCAGAAATCAACAATGGCTCATATCAAAAGACATTAGTTTCAATGAAAGTATGGTCAAAGCAAAACTTATCCATCTGGGCAGGCAGCACAAATATCAATATAATCTTAATGATATTGACGAAATGGCTAAATACCAAAATAAGACCGTTTTAAGGCCATCCCTTTATCACTGCGAATTAAATCCCATTGAAATGATCTGGGCGAATATAAAAAACTATGTGGCTTCAAACAATAGAACATTCAAATTTTCCGACGTGAATAACTTGTCAACAGAGTGACGGCAAACCATTATAAAGATTGCAACCGTTATGTTCAAGAGACAATCGAAACAAAGATGTGGAATCTGGATAATAATATGATCGATATTCAAATTGAACCTGTAATAATCAGCATTAACCATTCGGACGATGATTCATGTGCTTCAAGCGAATAAAGTATTGTGAAAAGTATGTGCACTTTTTTCTCTAAAAATAATCATTTATTTTGTTCGATTATTCCAAGACCATTGAGGAAAATGCGGACCAGGCAATCTCGCTTTTGGGGTATAGCTGTCGTTTACTTTATGCTCACTTGTAGCAGGCGCGGAATGAGCTATTTGCACACAACCAGCAATCTAGTCAACAAATTGACATTTTATCTTTTTTTAACATTATATGCATTTTTACGTAATAACCCCACCGTATTCTTGAAAACAAGGGAGTAGTAGAGTAGTATCACTAAGAGAAATTGGGCGTGGTTCTCTTCCCTGGGGAGTGATATCAAATTCTGACAGCTGTTGAAATTTGTCAAACAAGTTTGTGAATGCATTCGTTTTCGACAATACAATAGGTTTATTCTCTAGAGAATGATTCGGAGAACATCGATACTATACTAAGTGACATATAAATCCGAACACCCAGTTTAAATGGTTTTATTTCAATAAAATTTTGTATAAGTACTTAATGAAGCATAATAAGTAAATGATAAAAATTTCAAAATGATTGCACTGCTTTAAAGCCCTTTGACCTTTAATAATGTGTGGATGCACCCTGATGTGCTACGCATTCTCCAACACGCCTAGGCATGCTTCTGATCAGGTGGTCAATGTCCTCCTGTGGTATCTCATTCCAGGCAACCACCAACTCCTCTCGAAGTGCTTCTAGAGTCTGAGGAGGACGTTGCAAATTGAGCAATCTCCTACCCATCATATCCCACACGTGCTCAATTGGGGATAAGTCGGTAACAATGTGACATCATTATATTGAAAGAAGTCTATTGTGACTCTTGCAACATGTGGTCGGGCATTATCTTGTTGGAAAGTTCTATCTGCCAGGGTGTCAAGATAGGGTAAAAGATGGGGTTCTAGAACTTCGTGGATATAACGCTGCGCGTTCATGTTACCTCTGATGAAGATTAATGGTGACCTGGAACCATAAGCTATAGCACCCCAAACCATAACTCCAACAGTGTGATGAACATTTCTTTCAACAAAAAACTGTGGATTCCTTCTTTCACCACGTCGCCTTCTAACCCTGGCACGACCATCGTGCATGCCTAAACAAAATTGAGACTCGTCACTAAAGACAATACTGTTCCATTCCTGATCCCAGAGTGACCGTTGTCTGCACCACTCAAGGCGATTACGTCGGTGTTCTCGAGTTAAAGGGAGGACCCAGTGTGGCCGGTATGAAAACAAGCCAAAACTTCTCATTCGTCGGTAACACTGCGCATGCCAATAGGTCTTCCGTGTTCTGCAAACCATTCATTTGCAATGGACCTGGTAGTGGAGAAACGGTCCCTTAAGGCCAATAATCTTAGGCGGCGATCTTCATGGTCTGTTGTTCTACGGCGGCGTCCAGTGCCCCTTGCTCTTTGCGTACGGCCTTCTCGAAGCCATGCCTGACAACACCTAACCACAGCGTCTACACTTCTTTGCACTCTAACTGCAATTGCCCAAAAAGAAACTCCAGCTTCCCGAAGTCTCACTATACGGCCCTTATCAAACTCACTAAGTTGACGAAATCGTACAGGTCTCCGTACTCTAGGCATCGTAACCGATCGTAAAGAATGTCAAGAACCAAAATCCGCCAACGCTGATTCTTTACTTGAGAAATACCGCTAGGATTTCGATAATTTTTTTATACAATGTTACTACTATGCCAAGGACGTAAAAACTTTGCAGTGTTGCGAAAATCGGTCGAGTTACCGCAGACAAAAAGGCCAAAAACAAAAAAGAATAAAAGTTACTCAAACTAAAAAAATTTAGAGGTGCAAAAGCTTGAAGGTGGAGGTGGTAGGGCGTCGGCTGAGTTTATCTCAATTTTTTAATGTTAGTTCATTTATTCTCTCCCAACCTTGGTAATTCTGCGCACCCGTTAAGGTGCACGCACGCACTGAGTATACGCGCATGCATTCGTTCGCGAGCTTGGAGAGTGTTTAAACTGAAATTCATTTTTCAACGCATGGACTGATCCAGTCGTTCGCGTACGAGGTTAACATGGAGATTAGATATATAGCCGCGGCAACATTTATTATACTGTATAATTTAATTAAAATTAAAGAAAATGAGAAACGAAAGGAGTTAGTATTAAACAGTCTGTATGATCAATTCAGAAATTTTACAAGAATGACCAAGGCTGACTTTGAATACCTTGCATTTTTTTGGCAACTGGATACTCCTACAGCAGCTTGCAGTGTCTTTTCAGAGTGTCAAAATCTTCATTATGCTTTTTTTCGAGACGTAATGATCCTATCAGACTTTTAATTTTTTTCTGTCCTTCGCAGCAGTATAAATTTTCAATGTTACAATTGATTACTAGTTGTTTCCATGCACCATTTTTTTCGATTTTGAATAATCTTCGTGCCTAACGTCCCACAATACCGACAAAATTTCTCAAACTCTTGCAAGAGTTTTAGAACCTTGGTATCATTTCATTTCATCATTTACTGGACTAAATACAATCAAGTTTTCCTAATCATGTGCGCCGCGTTGTCGTTTCCGTCCACACTGAGCATTCGCGAACCCATTAAGTCCTTTGAGCAACGTCTTGAGACCGACAACACGCAGATCGCGTTGGCTGTTGCTCGCACACAGGAAGTTACAGGGTTAGCCTGCGCGCATACCCTTGAGCTTTCGCGGTGGATCAGTGGATGCGTGCTCAGATCTAAACGCACCTAAACGCACGCGCCGTACAGGATTAGGAAGACTTGATTGTATTTAGTCCAGTAAATGATGAAATGAAATAATACTAAAGTTCTAAAACTCTTTCTAGAGTTTGAGAAATTTTATCGGTACTGTGGGACGTGAGGCACGAAGATTATTCAATTTCGGAAAAAAATGGTACATGGAAACAACTAGTAATAAATTGTAGCATTGAAAATTTATACTGTTGCGAAGGACAGAAAAAAAAAGTATGATGGGATTATTTAGTCTCGAAAAAAAGCAAAATGAAGATTTTGACACTCTGAAAAGATTCTGCAAGCTGCTATAGGAATCTCCAGTTGCAAAAAAAGGCAAGGTTATGACTAAACGTTTTCTTGGTGATATAGATTTTCGAAATTGTGTATTAATTTTTATTATCGTTGGTGTTACCAACGTAATCAGGTATTCAAAGTCACCCTTGGTCATACTTGTAAGATTTCTGAATTGATCATACAGACGGTTTAAGACTGATTCCTTTCGTTTCCGATTTTCTTTTATTTTAATTATATTATACTGTATGTTAACCTCGTACGCGAACGACTCGATCAGCCCATGCGTTGAAAAATGTATTTCAGTTTAAATACTCTCCACTCACGCGAACGAATGCGTGCGCGTATGCTTAGTGCGTGCGTGCTCATATGTAACCGCACCTTTAGACACACTTCACACATCATAAACATCTCCGTCCATTAGCCGGTAAAACTTATGAAAATATTCTTCTCAGCAGACCGGCGGCGGTTGCTGCTCCCGGCGGCGTAGCCGTTCTTGGCCGCGTCACAGCATAGTGTTTCCTATGCTCTGCCCGCGTTGCCACGACTGACCCCTAGCCTGATGTACTACCGGTAGGGCAGAGAAAAAATGACTATGGACTAATTGTATGAACCTGTTTGACTGACCTTTTTCTCAGAGGGTCTAGTTTGTGCTGATCATAATTTAACAAAAAATATGAAGAAACATTAAAAAAAATTTCTTGACACGATTTTTGAAGCATAATTAAAATTATCGTTCGTTGCATTCGAATTATTTATGGTATTTTTAAAATAACATCGCTTCCATAACAAAATTCGGGAGGCAAGCTTAACAGCTTAATTTTCCATTCACCCTTATGACAGCAAAGAACGGCAGGAAAGAATGCTCTTGTATGAGCTACAGTTGGATTGAAGCCATTCGGTCATGAGACTACAATACATATCTTATATTTACAGAAGCGCCAACTAATGCGTTTTGGTGAACTCGCCAGCAACATGGAAAATACCCTAGGCGGCCACGCTGCAAAAATCACGTCAGCAATCGACAAGATCTGCGAAGTGGTGAAAACGGTCATACCAGTGATTGCAGCCGTGTGTCACGTGGGACAGTTCAAATTCTGCGCTGCATCCACAGAGGGTCCCGAGCAACTGGCCCAGGCTATGAATGGGATTGATCTTAATATTCCCGATTAAAACATATTAAAAGGAAATTTACCTCTCTTACTTCAATAAAATGGTGATTAACTTAGTTATTTTTAGGGCTTTATTTTTTTATACCTGAGCCACCACGAAGGCCTAAAGCCTAGACACCATTTCGTACCGTGGGGCTATAGGGGGATACAGGGGAAAGGGAGGAACACCACACGGGCTCTAGCTAGAAAACACGTGGGCATGCACACATTCTGGCCCACCTTAGAGATCCGCCAGGTGGTACTTCCGCGTTCGACTGTCAGAGACCGTCTACCACCTACTTCTTGTATTGTTTCGAAAGAATTGGAACCATTCCTTACTTATCAAGAAGGTGTTGCGGAAACTGCTTCAAGAAGCCGCACAGCTCAAGATTGTGAGCAGATATAATCACAAATATTTTTTGAGGTAGACTGGGGTAAAAGTGGTAAGGCGAATATTAGATGAATAGTATTGACTGTGATCCGTCAATATGTATCATGAAATGTGATATGTTTTGACCATGTAGCCTAGATGTCAGTAATTATTGATGTAAACATTCTTGTCGAATTTCTCTGACTGACAGAATCATCAGTAACTGCTTGGTACAGACCACAGTAAATACTGTAACGATAATACTGTTCTTACTCTTCAAAGTCTAAGTTATTACTTTTACACTAATTTATGATACTTATACTAATTCATGACAATTTATAACCCGCCCGCTGTCGACTGGCGAGCCCACGGTTAGCGAAGTAGTCTAGCATTTTCTAGCAAAAACTTGATTCCTCCTCGAAGCTGTTAGGTACTTCCAGACGGGTCTCGATGATTCCTGAATACCTACCTAAAATTTCCAGATAGCGCCGCAGGCGCTCACGCACGTGAACCCAATCGCCCGCAAGGTTTCGCAAGCTGCGATACATGATCCTCTAACTCTGGTTGTCTAATTTTGGGTGGGTATCTTTTTGCCATTCAACGTCCCAGTTATGGGGGCGTTACAATAGTGATCATGTGACATTAGCCTGAAGTGAGCTAGCAAGTTGCGGATAATCGATCTTTGGTTTATTGCATGATCACATTTTTATCACTAACCTAAAAAGCAGGAGTGTTTATCATGTATATGTGTGTCTGTCTGTAACATCGTAGCTCCGAACCAATGAATATATATTTTTGCAATCGAAGGTATTATCTGGCCAGATGGTTTTCAGCTGTTTGTTGAAAAATCGGTTTATCTATTTAAAAGTTACGAGGGTCAACGTAGTAAGCGAATGCATTTGAATTATGTATCAGAGGAAAGGATTTAATTTGCATATTGCTAAATAGGCATTCAAGGTAAATCGATCAAGTAGCTTGAAAGGTAAATCCATTTTTCTGTATGATTTTCAACCTCTCACGCAAGAAGTCCTATCTGATAGACCAATATGAGTTTGATTTTTTAATCAAGAGTCTGTGGAGGGTAGGTATTTAATGGTGCTTGCTGCTGACGATTAAGTATTGTAATTCTGAAAAATTGCTAAAATAATATTTTTTTGATGTAATATGTCATGTACATCACGAAAGAACATGTCACTCATATCCGCTTATCCTTGGCCCGTCTATAACTTGGAAAGTATCGCTCGGATTTGAATGAACCTTTTGCACAAGGTTACTACTATGCTGAGGAAGAAAATGCTTTGTAAGTTCTGAAAACCAGTCCAGTGGCGGCGTCAAAAACGAACAAATAATAATTGCTCAAACTTTTTTTTTACGTTTCTGTGGTACCTGATCATTTTTGAAAGAAATGTTCAATGGATTAAAAATTGGTAGCTAGGGATTGCAGGGTTTGGAAAAGCATAGATCTCAATTTTTTTGCTTTGGTATATTTATACGCCTACAACCCAGGTAATTCTACTCACCTATTCGACATATTCCACCCCCATATCTTACCCTTACCCGCAATGATGTGGGATATTTACTATGGAAGTCAATATCGTCATGCATGAGGGATTAGTCATGGCAAGAATCATGTGCGCCCACAGGAATTTCTCTCAGGCGGGAGGACAAGGTCATTCATCGACAAAAAACAACTTTGTGTGGCAGCGTACCTACCTCTAAAAGTTTTGAAGAGCAGAGGGTTGCATATTTTCTCAGTGGAAGCCAAATCCTAAAATGTCCGAAAATTGTACAACAAACCATGCTAAATATGCAAATTTTAATTGTATGAGCCGGACTTGATCCATTGTGCCAAACATAATCCTTCAAGGTCATTCATCGACAAAAAACAACTTTGTGTGGCAGCGTACCTACCTCTAAAAGTTTTGAAGAGCAGAGGGTTGCATATTTTCTCAGTGGAAGCCAAATCCTAAAATGTCCGAAAATTGTACAACAAACCATGCTAAATATGCAAATTTTAATTGTATGAGCCGGACTTGATCCATTGTGCCAAACATAATCCTTTATGAACTGATAACCGCGTTGCGTTGCAAATAGTAGCAGAAATAATATATTCTATGTTGGGATGTTTTGAAGAGCAAAAAAAACTTACGCGTCACTTCTTACCCAACGATTGGGTATCTTATTAAGAATATTTCACTTTGAAGCAGAAGCCAGGGGGATATATGTCCCTCCTTGCCCCTTCTCCTCCCCAATGGACGCCCATGCCTACAACTGCAAAACGAGTTCACAACGTGTCCATCAGCAAGAGCTGAGTTAACATCTTGTGGAAAAACCTACATAATGTCACAAAAAAACAATAAAATGTCAAAAAAAATCGACAATGTCACTATTCAAGATACGTAATGCCCATGCCGTTCAACAGATGCAATATTCAGATCACACTTCCGGTAACTCAACAACGTCTATCCTCAATTATTCTCAATCACCTCCCTCTTCCGTGCAGACGATCGCCCCCCGCCGGGAGGCCATAACGAGCCGAGACGCGTGAGGCTGACGTCTAATGAAACGCCCCGAATGACGTGTGACACGTCTAAATAACGCACAGGCATAGCCTCCCTTGTTTCCCGCCAGCCAGCATTTGCATATAACGATACGATGCGAGACTGTTTCTACTCGGAAGTGGGATTTATATTATTGCATCTGCGAGGCCGTATCAGAAACAGATGTGTGACTGAGATTTTGGAAATTGGTGTACGGAATTGCTTTCGAGCAAGTTATTTCATGGGATGGAAGTTTCAGTTACTTCACTAAACGGATTCGCAAGGAAGGATGAGAGCAATAAGATTGCAGTCAAGCTTACTACCGACAGTAATTGAAAAATATGGCGACCATCAGATTGATTCGGTACTTTCCATGCCCTTTCATGATACACAGATTGATAAAGATAATGAAAACTTCGTTTTTTTGTTAAAGTGCTTTTTTTACTATCCACAATTATGGGAAAAGTATTTATTCTAATCGCAAAAAAATTTGAGTATGATGTATAGCATTTTTACATAACATGTTGGTCGCAAAAAACCATGTCACTCATTTTCATCAGTATATCTGTCAGTTTGTTTGTCTGTCCGCTAGTACTTGAACACCTTTATAACTTGAAAGTACCACTCGGATTTTGATGAAATTTTGAAACAAGATTACCACTATACCAAGAACGAAAATGTTTGATAGGTTTTAATAATCGGTTCGATGGCGGACCAGCTACGGGCAAAAACGAAAAAATAAGAATAGCTCAAACTTAGTGTTTTTATAGTTTCAGACGTTTCTGCTCATTTTTTGAAATTTTGTAGACGTAAAAAATTGGGCCGTGGAATTTGCAGAGGATAGGGAATAATTCCTCTCAACTTTTTGGCGTTAATATGTATTTGTATGCTTCTAATGTCGATAGTTATTAGAGGAATTTCACTCATAGATTTCTCGGTATGTTTGCTCTTAAATCTTACAAGTAAAATGAAAGTCAAATGAGTTGGGATCAATGAAATATTGTCGATAACCACGTTGGGCGCAAGGACAATAGATAAATCTGTAGGGAGCCGCTGCAGTTACTGGTCAAATGGGGACCCTTTGTATGGACCTATTTTACTAACTGGATCTATCTAGTTCCCTTGTTATTCATGTTCGTAGTTCACTTTTTCCTGTGAAGGGTTGTGCCGAACATAATCTTTTATGAACTAATGTCAGCGTTCCATGGCAAGTGTAGTGTCAACCTACTGACGCCATTTTTCCTACACGCTGTGGCAATAAAAGGTAATCTCGAAAGTAGGTGGCGCTGGTTATGTTGAAGGCCATGTCTGAGGTTATAGATAGACAAAGATGTCAATTGCTGATCAGCCGTTCACGTCAATAGACTTCAAAACGTGATCAAGTCAAGAAAATTAGGTTACCTTTCTATCAAATATGTCTTTTTGCTACACACTTTAGACAGTTTGACCTAGAACTACACTAGCAAAATTGGATGTCGGTGCCATTATCCCACTCCAATAACCGCTAGAGCGCTCGCTCTACTATACACATAAAAATACAACTAGACACGTGGCAAGGCAAAAGTAAGTATAATGCCAAGAAAAAAGTATCACAGACAAATACAACTGGAAACCTGGCAAGGCAAAAGTAAGTAATTTTTTGTATAATGCCAAGACAAAAGTATCAACCTATTAGAGTTCTGCTTTCTTTATAGTAATAGCTGAGCATTTGGCAACTCAAAATACCGACACTGATAAGTCATATATTCTACCGGGGTTAGATGGTAGAATAGATATATAATCTATATCTCGCCTCCTGTAAGAATATTACAAATAAAAGACGTTAATTATTATTATTATTATGTACGTTACGTCACGTAGGATGTGAGTGAAATATATATTCCATGTGTTTCAGCAGTGTTTCCTGCTGGCGTAATTTTTGTGTGTTTCAAGTTTTTATAATGTTGTTGTTGATGAAGTCCGAACTATGCAAAAGTTTAATAATGTTCCATATATACAGAGCGTATGAGTCGGGCAATAATAAGCAAGTTTTCCTAGTAACAAATATATCAAAGAAAGAGATAACCGAGATATTAGGTTCCGAAAAACTCTAAGTAAGCCATTCCGACCCTGTTTTCTTCACTTCCTACGTTAAAAGGTATTTTGTGGTCGTATGACTAGGTGAGTCGGTA